TGAGAAGGTGACACCAGCACCACATGAACATTCTCTGATCCAGCAGCACATTGGTCATCTCTCTTTCTGTCTCTTTTGCCCTGTGTTTTTCCTCCCAGGTGGTGAAGTACCTCGCAGGCTGTGGGCTTCAGAGCTGTCCCCAGCTCCTGGCTAAGGGTTACCCTGACATTGGCTGGAACCCCTGTGGCGGGGAGAAATACCTGGACTTCCTCCGCTTCGCTGTCTTCGTCAATGGTCTGTGTTCGTTGGCTTCATGTAATAGAATACACTGCTGTTGGTATTATGTATTTCTGTTTGTCTTTCATCACTGAGCGTGGTTTGGCTCCATGTCCCCCCGTAGGAGAGAGCGTAGAGGAGAATGCCAATGTGGTGGTGCGTCTTCTGATCCGTCGGCCAGAGTGTTTTGGGCCGGCCCTGAGAGGAGAGGGTGGGAACGGCCTGCTGGCTGCTATAGAGGAGGCCATCAAGATCTCTGAGGATCCTGCCAGGGACGGCCCCACTGTCAAGAAAGACAGACGCTTCCCCGGCATGTAAGAGCCAAACCACTTAGGGACTCTGCTGATCGACTATCTAGTCTTAACTGGTGTAGTATATTAGAACATGTTCTCATTTGAAAGGTTTTGGGCCTACATTAATATGAGTTCTTCCTTTCTCCTGGTAGGTTCCCTGGTGGGGAGGAGCAGCATGAGGAGAACAAGGTTCACCTGGGGAATGCCATCATGTCCTTCTACTCAGCTCTCATTGACTTGCTGGGACGCTGCGCTCCAGAGATGCATGTGAGTACTGAGTGTTGGAAAACCTTAAAGAGAGAAGCCAAGGCTTATGGAATGGAACTAGCTAGCTGCTGTGTTTCAGTCTAAGACGTTGCTATTTGTTCTTCGTCCCCCAGTTGATCCAGGCTGGGAAGGGTGAGGCACTGAGGATCAGGGCCATCCTGAGGTCCCTGGTGCCCATAGAGGACCTGGTGGGAGTCATCAGCCTGTCTGTTCAGATCCCAGACTTTGGAAAGGGTGAGCCACAGGGGAAACCATTTGGATTCAATTAACTCTGTTGTGTTGGCTCAAGGACAGTGAGTTTTGACGTCTTTGATGATGAAACAGAACTAAAAATGGTTTTAGTTTAGTTTGATCGTAATATGTTGCATATTATATCTCTAATTAGTCAAGTGTTAATATGATGTGAGTCCTAGCATTATTCTCCTCTTCAACTTCCCTCTGTCTTCTGTGATGTCTAGATAACAGCATCATTGAACCCAAGATGTCTTCCAGTTTTGTGCCGGACCACAAGGCTCCCATGGTGCTGTTCCTTGACAGAGTGTATGGTATTGACAACCAGGACTTCCTGCTCCATGTGCTGGAGGTGGGCTTCCTGCCTGACATGAGGGCAGCTGCTTCTCTGGACACGGTGAGTCAGCCTCTCTCGATCTCACTGCTCATATACATTACATGAGGCAATAACCTTCTCTTATGTAGGAGTGAGACACTAAGCATATATTGACTGTAAACAGAACTAACAAAATGTGCTTAGGGCCCCCAAAATGCTAGGGCCGGCTCTTACTGCATGTGTGGGTATGCATGTGGCAGACCCGCAATTTTTTTGTGGCCCCCACGCCTGTCAAAGTTGCCCATCCCTGGTTTAAATTGATCTCTCCCAACTAGGCGGCTTTCTGCACCACAGAAATGGCCCTGGCTCTGAACCGCTACCTCTCTCTAGCCGTGCTGCCCCTCATCACCAAGTGTGCCTTCCTGTTCGCGGGCACAGACCACCGGGCCATCATGATCGACTCCATGCTGCACACCATCTACCGTCTGTCCCGCGGACGAGCCTTCACTAAGGCCCAGAGAGATGTCATTGAGGAGTGTCTCATGGCTTTGTGCAAGTGAGTTGGACTTACTATGAGCTGTTATCTAAAGTCTGTCTTTCTGCATTGTGTCAGTAGAATTGTCTCTATCTCCTCTCTAAGTTAATGTTAATGACTCCTGGACATGACATGTTCTCTTCCCTAAACTGTTTGTACAGTAAACTTTTAGTGAGGTGTTTAACCATGCTTGATAAATGTATTGTACATGCGCTTATTTATTTGCATCTATTTCTTAGAAATCTACGGCCATCCATGTTACAACACCTGTTGAGAAGGCTGGTATTTGATGTACCAATTCTCAATGAATATGCCAAAATGCCACTTAAGGTATGGACATGATTTAAACGGTCATTAGACAATCAAACCTTTATAGAAACAAAACAAAGGAATGAACATAGCCGTATCAAGATAAATGTACTTATCATCCAGATGTTAGGATGCATGATTTCACTGATTTCATAATGTTTTTTTGTTGGCTGCAGCTTTTGACCAATCACTATGAGCGTTGTTGGAAGTACTATTGCCTGCCCAACGGCTGGGGCAACTTTGGACTGTCATCAGAGGAGGAGCTGCATCTCACCCGCAAACTCTTCTGGGGCATCTTTGAGTCCTTGGCCCACAAGGTTACACTTTTACACTGATCGATCAGAGAAACCTTAGTCACCAGGAAATGTTTGGCTCCAATAATAAAAAATAAAAAATAAACGTTGATAGATCATTGTAGTAATATTTCACTATGTCCTCTGTTTCTGGTTTCAGAAATTTGACGCTGAGCTGTTCAAAATTGCCATGCCATGCATATGTGCCATTGCTGGGGCCATCCCTCCAGATTATGTAGATGCCAGCTACTCCTCCAAGACTGAGAAGAAAGCCTTGGTGGATGCAGAGGGAAACTTTGATCCCAAACCAGTGGAGACCACAAAGTGAGAGCGTGAGATGAGGGGACGAAGAGAGAAGAGAAGAGAAGAGAGAGAGAGAGAGGGAGTGATGAGAGGAAGAATGAGAGGAGAGAGAAGGGAAGATGAGAGTAAGGAAGAAGAGGGAGAGAGAGGAGAGAATGAGGGATAAAGGAGAGAAGGAGGAGAAGAAGAGCGGGAGTATGAAGAGGAAGAGGGGTGAAGCATGGATGAGGAGATGGAGGAGAGATGAAGAGAAGCGGGGAGATGAGTGGAGAGAAGAGGACTGTGAGCAGGAGAGCTGAGCGAGCGATGGGAGCCATGGAGATGCGGAGAAGCGGGAGGATAGGCAGAGAATAGCAGCATGAGAGAGACATGGGAGGATCGGGGAACGGGACGGACTGAGGCAGTAGCGCAGAGGCTGAAAGAGCTAGATGCGCGGAAAGGGGTCGAGACGGGAGGATGAAGCGGGAAGCAGGGAGAGTGATGACCTAGCGAGAGCAGAGATAGACGGACGGAGAGAAGAGCGGATGAGTGAGACGGGAGAGAGGAGGAGAGGAGATGAAGGAGAGGGATGAAAAGGAGGAGCAGGGAGTGAAGAGGATGGAGAGATCAGCAGGATGAGGATGAAGAGGCAGAGATGAGGTAGCATGGAGAGTGAGCGGAGGATAGGAGAGAGGGCGGCGCAGAGCGACGCGGACTGAGAGAGAGACGGGAGCATCGAAGAGGAAAGGCCGAGAGCGGCACGATGACGGTGAGGGAGTGACGCAGGAGGCTGCAGCGGCGGATGCGGAGACGAGCGCGCCGGGCAGAGGAGGAGAGGGGAGTGAGAGGATAGGCGAGAGCGAGGGAGTGGAGGGACGAGTGAAGGACGACCGAGGGGGATGAGGAGAGCATGAGAGAGAGGGGAGGATGAAGGAGAGCTGCGGGTCGCGAGTGGCGAGCCGTAGACGGGGAGTGAGGGCGACGGGAGGAGGCTCGAAGCGCTGCAGAGCGCGGAGCGCGTGGCGTGAAGGCGAGATGAGACGGTGGACGAGATCGAGGACTGACCGGAGTGAGGGCTGAGCGAGCAGCGGAGACTGAGAGCGGCGGGGCGGGAAGATGGGGCAGATGACGGGAGAGGGGGCGGGAGCTGCGGGACGAGGGGACTGAGGGGCGCTGCGAGACGAGTGGAGACGAGCGGGAGCAGCTGGGGCAGACGTGCCGAGGCGCAGGGCGGGGAGAAGAGGGGGCGAGGGGAGCTGAAGGGAGTCGTGGCGCGTGAAGCCAGCGAGAGGGCAGTGGCGGCAGCTCCGTGCGATGGCGGACGCGCGAGGGGGCGGAGTAGTGACGGAGAGACTGGGGTGAGACGGGGACAGGCGGAGATGACGCGGACGGGGAGGCGACGGGAGACGACGCGGGGGAGAGGGAGAGAGAGGGGAGGGTAGGAGCGGCGAGCGGCTTCCGCCGCCCTCGCCTGCCCGCGCGCCGCGGCGCCCGCGGCGCTGCCCTCGCTCCGCGCGCTCTGCCCGCGCGCTCGGGCTGCCGCGGCGCCTGCCCGCTCTCCGCGGCGCGCTGCGGGCGCGCCTCGGGCGCGCTGCCGCGCGCCGCGGGCGCCTGCCGCGCGCTCCGGCGCTCTGCGCGCGCCGCGGCGCGCCCGGGCGCCGCGTGCGCGCTGCCGGCGCCGCGGGCGCGCTGGGCTCAGCGGGCGCGCTGCCGGCCGCCGGGGCGCTGCCCGCGCTCCGCGGGCGCGCCCGGCGTGCGCGGGCGCGCTGCCGGCGCGCCCGGCGTGCTGCCGGCGCGCTGCCCGCGCCGCGGGCGCTGCCGGCGCGTCGGCCGCTTGCGCGCTGGCGCGCCGCGGGGCGCTGCCCCGGGCGCGCTGCCGGCGCTGCCCGCGCGCTCGCGCGCCGCGGCGCGCTGCCGGCGCGCTGGCGCGCTGCGCGCTGCCGGCTCTGCCCGCGCGCGGGCGCGCCGCGGGCGCTGCCCGCGCGCCGCGGGCGCGCTGCGGGCGCGCTGCCGCGCGCTGCGGGCGCTGCGGGCGCGCTGCGGGCGCGCTGCCGGCGCCGCGGGCCGCCGCGGGCGCGCTGCGGGCGCGCTGCGGCGGCTGCTGGCGCGCTGCGGCGCGCTGCCGGCGCCGCCGCGGCGCGCCGCGGGCGCGCTGCCGGCGCGCCTGGGCGTGCTGCCTGCGCCCGCGGGCGTGCTGCGGGCGTGCTGCCGGCGCCGCGGGCGTGCTGCCGGCGCGCCGCGGTCGCGCTGCCCGCGCGCTGCGGGCGCGCCGCGGGCGCGCCGCGGCGCGCTTCCGGCGCGCTGCCGGCGCGCCGCGGGCGCGCAGCGGCGCGCCGCGGGCGCGCCGCGGTGCCGCTGCCGCGCGCCGCGGGCGCGCTGGCGCGCTCCGGGCGCCCGCGGGCGCTGCCCGCGCGCCGCGGGCGCGCCGCGGCGCTGACCGCGCGTTGCGGGCGCGCTGCCCGCGCCCGGCGCGCTGCGGCGCGCTGCCCGCGCGCCGCGGCGCGCTGCCGGCGCCTGCGTGCGCGCTTGCGCGCTGGCGCGCCGCGGGCGCGCTGCCCCGGCGCGCTGCCGGCGCTGCCGCGCGCTGGCGCGCCGCGGGCGCGCTGCCGCGCGCTGGCGCGCTGGCGCGCCGCGGGCGCGCTGCCGGCGCTGCCGCGCTGCGGCGCTGCCGCGGGCGCTGCCGCGACGCGCGCGGGCGCGCTCGGGCGCGCTGCGGGCGCGCTGGGCGCGCTGCGGGCGCGCTGCCGGCGCGCCGCGTGGCGCGCTGCGCGCGCCGGGCGCGCCGCGGCGCGCTGCCGGCTGCCGCGGGCGCGCTGGCGCGCTGCCGGCCGCCGCGGGCGCTGCCGCGCGCCGCGTGCGCGCGCTGGCGCTTGCCCGCGCGCTGCGGGCGCGCTGCCCGCGCCGAGGGCGCGCTGCCTGGCCGCTGCTGGCGCGCTGGCGCGCTGGCGCGCCGCGGTGCGCGCTGCCCGGCGAGCTGCCCCCCCCCGCGGCGGGCGCGCGGAGAGGGAGAGAGAGGGAGCAAAGGGAAGAGGAGGATGGAGAGATAGAGAGGAGCGGGAGATGGAAAGAGAGATGGGAGGAAGAGGGAGGATGAAGAGAAGAGGGAGAGATGAGGGAGAGAAGAGGGAGAGATGAAGGAGAGAAGAGGGAGAGATGAAGGAGAGATGAAGGAGAGATGAAGGAGAGAAGAGGGAGAGAAGAGGGAGAGAAGAGGGAGAGATGAAGGAGAGAAGCGGGAGAGATGGAGAGAAGCGGGAGAGATGAAGGAGAGAAGAGGGAGATGAAAGAGATAAGAGGGAGAGAAGAGGGAGTGAAGAGGGAGAGATGAAGGAGAGAAGAGGGAGTGATGAAGGAGAGATGAAAGAGAGAAGAGGGAGAGATGAAGGAGAGATGAGGGAGAGATTGAGAGATGGAGAGAAGAGGGAGAGATGAAAAGGGAGAGATGAAGGAGATGAAAGAGAGATAGAGAGAAGAGGGAGAGATGAAGGAGAGATGGAGAGATGGAGAGATGAAGGATATGAAAGAGAGAGGGAGAGAAGAGGGAGATGAAAGAGAGAAGAGGGAGAGATGCGGGAGAGATGAAGGAGAGATGAGGGAGAGATTGAGGGAGAGATAGGATGAGGAGAGATGAAGGAGAGAAGAGGGAGAGAAGAGGGAGAGATGGGGAGAAGATGAGGGAGAGATGAGGGGAGAGAGGGAGAGATGAAGGAGAGAAGAGGGAGGAGAGGGAGAGGATGAAGGAAGAAGTGGGAGGAGAAGGAGAGAAGAGGGAGTGATGAGGGAGTGATGAAGGAGAGAAGAGGGAGTGATGAAGGAGCGAAGAGGTAGAGATGAAAGAGAGATGAGGGAGAGAAGAGGGAGAGAAGAGGGAGAGATGAAGGAGAGATGAAGGAGAGAAGAGGGAGAGAAGAGGGAGAGAAGCGGGAGAGAAGAGGGAGAGATGAAGGAGAGAAGCGGGAGAGATGGAGAGATGAAGGAGAGAAGAGGGAGATGAAAGAGAGAAGAGGGAGAGAAGAGGGAGATGAAAGAGAGATGAGGGAGAGATGAAAGAGAGAAGAGGGAGAGATGAAGGAGAGATGAAAGAGAGAAGAGGGAGAGATGAAGGAGAGATGAGGGAGAGATTGAGAGATGGAGAAGAAGAGGGAGAGAGAAAAAAGGGAGAGATGAAGGAGATGAAAGAGAGATGGAGAGAAGAGGGAGAGATGAAGGAGAGATGGAGAGATGGAGAGAAGAGGGAGAGATGAAGGAGATGAAAGAGAGAGGGAGAGAAGAGGGAGATGAAAGAGAGAAGAGGGAGAGATGAGGGAGAGATGAGGGAGAGATGAGGGAGAGATGAGGGAGAGATGAAGGAGAGAAGAGGGAGAGATGAAGGAGAGAAGAGGGAGAGAAGCGGGAGAGATGAAGGAGAGAAGCGGGAGAGATGGGAGAGTGAGGAGAGAGGAGAGGGAGAGTGAAAGAGAGAAGAGGGAGAGAAGAGGGAGATGAAAGAGAGAGAGGGAGAGGATGAAAGAGAGAAGAGGGAGAGATGAAGGAGAGATGAGGGAGAGATGGAGAGATGGAGAGAAGCGGGAGAGATGAAAAGGGAGAGATGAAGGAGATGAAAGAGAGATGGAGAGAAGAGGGAGATGAAAGAGAGCGCGGGCGGCGCGCTCGGGCGCGCTGCGGCGCGCTCGGGCGCCTGCCGGCGCGCCTGCCGCGCGCCGCGGGCGGCTGCCGGCGCCCGCGGCGGCTGGGGCGCTGCCGGCGCGCCGCGGGCGTCGCTGCCAGCGGGCGGCGAGGCGCTGACTAGGCTGGGCGACGCGGGGGCGCGAGATGAGGAGAGTGGGAGGCATGGACGGGCGCGGGCGAGATGAAGCGGAGACTGGGCCGAGAGGGGCGAGGGCGAGTGAGGGAAGCGGGAGCGCGCGGGCGGCTGCGGCGCGACGGAGCGAGCAGCTCGGGGGCTGCGGCGCGAGCGGGGCTCGCGGGCGCTGAGGCGGGCGCGTCGCGGCGCGCTGCGGGCGCGCGGGGCGCTGGGCGCGCTGCCGGGCGGCGGGGCGCTGGCGGCGCGGGGCGCGCACCGGGCGCGTGCCGCGCGCTGGCGGGCGCGCTGCGGCCGCTGACAGAGCGAGAGGCGTGGGGGAGAGATGAGGAGAGATGGGGGGCGACGATGGGAGCGACTGACGCGAGAGGCGGCGGAGTGGGACGAGGCGAGGTGCGGAGATGCATGGGGCTGGGCAGGGAGGCGGGCGATGAAGAGACGAGAGGGAGAGATGCGGGAGAGATGCGGGAGAGATGAAGGAGAGATGAAGGAGAGATGAGGGAGAGATGCGGGAGAGATGCGGGAGAGATGCGGGAGAGATGCCGGGAGAGATGCGGGAGAGATGCGGGAGAGATGCGGGAGAGATGCGGGAGAGATGAGGGAGAGATGAGGGAGAGATGAGGGAGAGATGAGGGAGAGATGAAGGAGAGGAGAGAAGAGGGAGAGATGAAGGAGAGAAGAGGGGGAGATGAAAGAGAATAGAGAGAAATTATGGACGGGAGTGTAAACCAATAGGAGGAAGGCCTTGAGAAAACACAAACAATTTAGATAAGATTCAGTATCAACGGAAAGTGTTGATATTTTCATAAATATTACGCAGTTTCCTCTACTTTTAGCTCCTATATAGTAAGTTATGACTATGGTGTACTGAAGTCTGTTTTGCATTGTAGTACTATCATCCCTGAGAGATTGGATGGTTTCATCAACAAATATGCTGAATACACACATGACAAGTGGGCTTTTGAAAAGGTCAGTAAAAAAAAAGTCAAGAATAAACGTTTGTGTATCAGTTGTACAGCCAATTGTAGAATGTATGTATGGTGTATGTATGTCCACCTGCAGATTCAGAATAACTGGACATATGGAGAGATTTTGGATGAAAATGAAAAAACTCACCCAATGCTCCGACCGTACAAAACATTCTCAGAGAAGGTAAGAGGCACAGTTGATAATTTTCTTACAATGCATAGTCATTTCTGTCAACCACCACAGATTTTTACCATTGCTGCTCTCGGATGCCCTCTGTCTGTAATGATCTCCCTTGTAGGACAAAGAGATCTACCGTTGGCCCATCAAAGAGTCCATGAAGGCTATGATTGCATGGGAGTGGACTCTGGATCAAACGAGGGAAGGAGAGGAAGCCAAGACTGAGCAGAAGAAGGCGGCTCGGAAGATCTCTCAGACTGCACAGGTACAGAGAAAAGGAGGAATAATCCATAAAATGACGTCTTAGATTTAATAGGATCTCTTTGGAATAAACATTATTTTAGATCAGACAGAGATGATAAAGACAGTGTGAATAAATGTTTATGAATATAAATGTGTGTATTTCAGGCAACATATGACCCCAGCCATGGCTACAGTCCCCAACCGATTGAAATCTCCCACACGGCACTGTCAAGAGAGCTGCAGGTATGATGACACTAAAGTATGGACCATCCCTCTCAATTACTTTACACACTGTAATGTGATCAATGTTTTCATAATTTCTCCTTTCCCCAGTCCATGGCAGAACAGCTTGCAGAGAACTATCACAATACCTGGGGTCGCAAGAAGAAGATGGAGCTGCAGTCCAAAGGTCAGAGGTCATTCTGTTCAGGAAACAAAGAGGATATTAGCTACAGAATTGCCAGTCACCTTTTTCTTTAACAAAAGTGAATGGGAACTTTGTGTGTGTTTTGACTGTGTGTAGGAGGAGGCTCCCACCCTTTGCTTGTACCCTATGACACCCTGACAGCAAAAGAAAAGGCACGAGACAGGGAAAAGGCTCATGAGCTTCTCAAATTTCTTCAACTCAATGGATTTGCAGTCACCAGGTAAAAGGAAAAGTCATTGAAGGTATCAAGTTAAAGAAGCAACTGAATATGTATTGATAAATCATGCTTTTGAATGCGTTCTCAAGGGGGATGAAAGACATGGAGTCAGACATCTCATCTATCGAGAAGCGCTTTGCCTATGGTTTCCTGCAGAAGCTGTTAAAGTGGATGGAGATCGCCCAGGAGTTCATAGCTCATCTTGGTAGGGTGGGCTCTGGGAGGAGGGTGGATGATGATAACCAATGAAATAGTGCTCTGTTATTGAGCAACTGAATGAATCAGTGTATAGTCAATGTTGACATTTAACACAATAACAATACTCCATAATGTTGTCTTGTGTGTTTTCTTTCAGAGGCTGTGGTGAGCAGTGGCAGAGTGGAGAAGTCGCCTCATGAGCAGGAGATCAAATTCTTTGCAAAGGTGAGCACAGAATCACTATGAAACAGGCCCATCTAGAGAAGAGGCGAGATGGCATTTAATACAGCTGTTACATGTTTACTGCAGGGGTATAAGAATATATGATGATGATGATGAAATGTGTTTGTCTCAGATCCTGTTGCCCCTGATCAACCAGTACTTTAAAAACCACTGTCTGTACTTCCTGTCCACACCGGCCAAAGTCCTGGGTAGTGGAGGACATTCCTCTAACAAGGAGAAAGAGATGATTGCCAGGTAACTCTGTCACACACTGTATAACATGTGTATTGCTACAACTCAGTTTAGTTAGTAGGCTTTCGCCACTTTCATATATCTCTACTCATCCTTTCAAGTCTCTCTTTTGGAACCTGTGCTGTAATTTCTCATTTTCCTCTTGCTTTCATCATTCATTACCTTTCTCTGCATTTCCTCTCTCTTTTCTATTGGGTATCGCTGTAGCATCTTCTGTAAAATGGCTGCTCTGGTGAGACACAGAGTTTCTCTCTTCGGTAAGAAATCATCTTTGTCCTGATGATTTAGTTCTGTCTAGTCCAGTCATTCCTGCTCTATTACCGTATATTTCCCTCTGCTCTATTTACATCTCTTTAACTTGTGTTTGACCCTTCTTACTGTATTTTTATTTCACTGTTCACTGCTTTTCCCCCTCTGTCTCTGATTACCTGTGCTTGGCTTTCTCTCCCTCTCATGCTGATTGAGTTGTCATTTGAACTAATGTACTTATGTTAAAGGTTTTTCTACCTGGTACTGTAAATCCAAAATAATTCACCATGATGTTGCCAACCTTCATTATAACTAAGTGACTTTGTCTATCCTGTATAGGAAATGATGCCCCTGCTATTGTCAACTGTCTTCACATCCTGGCACGATCTCTCGACGCAAGGTAATCTTCACTTGTCTAAAATGTGTGCACAATCCAAATACAAAGGTATTGGATCAGATGTGTCCTCTCAGATTTTCTCATAGCCTTCCTCTGTACCCTCCTTGCTCTGTTTTCCTCAGGACGGTGATGAAGTCTGGGCCTGAGATTGTGAAGGCAGGGCTCCGGTCGTTCTTTGAGGGTGCAGCTGATGATATCGAGAAGATGGTGGAGAACCTCAAACTGGGAAAGGTGTCTAAAGGCAACCAGGTAAGAGCAAAGTGTCTACAAGAGAACAGGTAGGAATTGAACTATTCCAGAACTGTTGCGTTTTGTTCTTGTTCACCATGTCTTACTTTGTGGTCCCTCTACAGCAGGTGAAAGGCGTGTCCCAGAACATCAACTACACCACCATCGCTCTGCTCCCAGTCCTCACCTCCCTGTTCGACCACATCTCACAGCACCAGTTTGGAGATGATGTCATGCGTGAGTCGTGTCATCAAGGCATTCATGTGATGACACAGCATTCAAGTTTACTTACTCGCAGAATTGTGAAAACATTTACATGTCTTGTTAACCATGTGTGTGTGTGTTCGTGTTCGTGTTCATGTGTTTGTGTGTGTTCGTGTGTTTGTGTGTGTGTGTGTGTGTTCGTGGTGGTCAGTGGATGATCTCCAGACGTCATGTTACCGCATCATGTGTGCCATCTACTCCCTGGGCACTGTCAAGAACCCTCATGTGGAGAGGTGAGTCTGGATCTGGCTCTGTTTATCTTTGTGAAAAGTACAGCAATACAAACCTGATCATCTGTGAGTTTGACTGCCCTTGTCGTCCCTCCTCCAGGCAGAGGCCAGCTATGGGGGAGTGTCTGGCCCATCTGGCGGCTGCTATGCCTGTGGCCTACCTGGAGCCCCATCTCAATGAGTACAACACCTTCTCTGTCTACACCACCAAGACCCCCAGAGAAAGAGCCAGTGAGTGTCCAGCTAATTCTATGACTTGTTCTCTGTCCACCCAGGACTTGTAGTCAAGTTCCCCAACACTCTCTCTCTGTCTCTGTCTCTGTCTCTGTCTCTCTGTCTGTCTGTCTGTCTTGATGTCCATAGTCCTGGGTCTGCCCAACGAGGTCCAGGAGTTATGCCAGGACATACCAGAGCTAGACATTCTGTTGAAAGAGATCGGGGACTTGGCAGAGTCAGGTGCCCGTTACACTGAGATGCCCCATGTGATCGAGATAACTCTGCCCATGCTGTGTAACTACCTGCCCCGCTGGTGGGAAAGAGGAGTAGAGAACTTCCCTGAGCTGGAGGGCCAGATCTGCACCGACGTCACCTCTGAGCAGCTCAACCAGCTGCTGGGCAGCATCATGAAGATCGTGGTCAACAACCTGGGAATTGACGAGGCCTCCTGGATGAAGAGGCTGGCTGGTGAGGTTGCCACAATGCATTACGTGTCTACTGTACCTGTGTGTGTTTTCTTGCCAACTCACCATCACCACTCCTCTTCCATCCCTAGTCTTCTCCCAGCCTATTGTGAGCAGGGCCAAGCCAGAGATGCTCAAGTCCCATTTCATCCCCACCATGGAGAAGCTGAAGAAGAGGACTGGGAAGGTGGTGGCAGAGGAGGACCACCTGCGTATGGAGGGGAAGGCTGAGGGGGACGAGGAGGAGGGCACCATCAGGGATGAGTTTTCTGTGCTCTGCAGGGACTTGTACGCTCTCTACCCTCTCCTCATCCGCTATGTGGACAATAACAGGTACAGCACACAGGCAAACTAGTGGCTGGTCATGTTTTTTCTTTAGATAGGGCACCTTTTCATATCCAGTATCCTGACTAACAGTACTGTATGTCAGAAACCATTCCCCCTGACAGTTGTCTTTGCGTACATGTTTGTTGTGGTGTTAGCGGTCTCTCCATCACTAGAACCTTAAACATATGTCCTCCATTTGCAGGGCGAGGTGGTTGACATGCCCAGACCCAGATGCAGAGGAGCTCTTCAGAATGGTTGGAGAGGTCTTCATATTCTGGTCCAAATCTCATGTGAGTGTAAATCCCTGAAAGGTGACAACTATTTCTCTCATGTCACCTCTGTGTCAAATATGTGTACGCGACCAATACACTTTGATTTGATCTGATGACCTTTCTTTCTCTCTCTTGTGTCTCTGCAGAACTTCAAGCGAGAGGAGCAGAACTTTGTGGTGATGAATGAGATTAATAACATGTCTTTCCTGACTGCTGACAGCAAGAGCAAGATGAGTAAGGTGAGCCAATACAGACCATCTGGGGTTAAAAAGATGAGTAAGGTGAGCCAATACAGACCATCTGGGGTTAAAAAGATGAGTAAGGTGAGCCAATACAGACCATCTGGGGTTAAAAAGATGAGTGAGGTGAGCCAATACAGACCATCTGGGGTTAAAAAGATGAGTAAGGTGAGCCAATACAGACCATCTGGGGTTAAAAAGATGAGTAAGGTGAGCCAATACACAGACCATCTGGGGTTAAAAAGATGAGTAAGGTGAGCCAATACACAGACCATCTGGGGTTAAAAAGATGAGTAAGGTGAGCCAATACAGACCATCTGGGGTTAAAAAGATGAGTGAGGTGAGCCAATACAGACCATCTGGGGTTAAAAAGATGAGTGAGGTGAGCCAATACAGACCATCTGGGGTTAAAAAGATGAGTAAGGTGAGCCAATACAGACCATCTGGGGTTAAAAAGCCATTCAGTTACCTTCAGCGTTTAAATGTTGTGGCATGTTAGCCAGGGCTCTCCAACCCTGTTCCTGGAGAGCTACCGTCCTGTAGGTTTTAGCTTTCCATGAACAGGGTTGGAGAGCCCTGTGTTAGACTGATGTCAGCAGATTTGGGAAGACTATGAATTACTGAAACATCATAAATTGACATCATTTACACAACAGCAACAATGTAGCCAGCAATTTGTCTCACATCCTGCATCGTTTGCTTTAAAAAAAAAAAACATTTCACATACTTGATTGTGAATTAATTTGGGATATCCTCCTAACCCATTGTAGCTAACAATGTGGAGTATAACTTACCTATACAAATTGTTGGTTCTTTTTCAAAACTGTACTTGATGTCTGCATAGGTTCTCGAGAAAATGCTAACTAGCGTTAGCACAATGACTGGAAGTCTATGGGTGTCCACAAGTTTATCTGACTCTGAAATGAAAGATCGTGTTACTTAAGTATATATATTGTATCACTGACAATAGCCCAACAGTAAAGGCAAACAAGTATTTTCCCCACATCTTCAGCAGGTATGGTATATTGGAAAGCTTTAAAAAAAACCCAGTGTTTTGTTTTTGTTAAATCAGTTTGATATGACCGCTTTTTAGCCCTGTTTTCCATGCCTGCCTTGGCTTGTCTCCATTTGAGGACTAAGAGAAGTGCCTCTACGATTTATACATCTGTCTGTATATGTCAGTAGAGGTTCATTCAGTATTGTAGCTGTAGCAGGTGTTAACAGTTCTCTCTTTGACTGTCCCTTGTCCTCTTTTTCTGTGTCGACGCTGGGTTTCTAGGGCAACGACTCAGAGGTTAGATTTTGTTTCTGCACGACCGCTGTGCTGACCGCATGGCACCTCACTTTGGGGGGCTTTTCATCAACTCCTCTGGCACACCAGGACACCACACACACACACACACACACACACACACACACACACACGCACACACACAACTAGTGGCAATTCTACTTTGTATGTAGAGGCAGCTGTCCAGGTCCACTCAGTAACTACCTACGTGTTCTGCACTCCACTGCAACACCAATGGGAAAGAAGTGGGTCTCTGTACTATGACACAGAAATAGAACACAAAAGTTGGTCTGAATTGACTTACATGCGTCACTGATACACTTTGGATCCAGTTACACTGTGGTCAACATTGTGGACAAAAAATATATATATATATATAAAAAAATAAATAATGCATTAACTGTAAGTCGCTCTGGATAAGAGCGTCTGCTAAATGACTAAAATGTAAATGTGAATGTATGGACACTATTACCAGGCCTGTGGTCACATATCTAGACTGTGGCATACACTCAGCTAGAACACTACTCTTAATATCACATACATTTTCTACTGCTAAACTGCATAGAATTACATGAATAAACACATTTGTGTGACCGAGTGTGTGAAGTGACAGACACAGTGCTCCACACAAGGCCAGATAGAAAAAGCAAGAGCACCTTTCAAGCAGACATGCACCATACTGATATAACACTATTGGACGAAGTGGCAGTAGTGGGCTACCCCCAGTCCTGCCAGTGTGTGAGGGGGGGAGTCTGGAGGCGCTTGATGAAAGTACTCTGCCGTAGTCGGGCTCATGGCACTAGGCTCCGCACCAGGCCTGCCCAAAGCAGCAGTGGGGGCAGAGTGCCATCATCCTGCCAATGAGTTTGCACCCAGTTGATTGTAGTTGGGTGGGAGTCTTCCTTCCATGTCTTTTCAGTTGAAGGTTGGTTGGTATATAGCGTTTGTGATCAAGCTCCCTCCACAAGGGGATGCTGTTAGTCCCCCTCTCTGTGCTCACCGCTCACTCACTGCTCCCTGTAACCGCCATGTCAGACCATGGCTTAGCTTCATCATATCCACCAGTCAGTCTCCACCCACCCACCTGTCCCCTTTCTTTAACCCATGACCTGATACTATATTTAACAGGACTGAAAAAGGTCTCTGGAAGAAGCTCTATAGTACCCAATGTAGAATGTGACTTTACCTCACCCCAATCTATTTTAATCAAACCTGTCTTCTAAAATCTTCCCTAAAACCTTTGTACCCACCTTCCTCTAAACTAGCCTTATTCATAACACACTCCTTGCATTGAAGTACTGGTTTGGCGAAGCGGTTGAATCTGCCTGGACTTGTCTGTGGCTTTGACACACTCCTACCACTCGCACACATTCTTCTTTATCAGGAGTAAATGCACTTTTTGGGTATGAAGGGCATATACTCCGAGATACATACAGCATTTCACTGAAACACATTGTTCTCACTTTTCACCACTGCACATTCCCTTAGTCCTTCAGGACATTTAGCCATGACACATTCTCTGTTTCTAGGGCTTTGCATCCTCTCCTGTTCTGTGCGGTGTTCCTCTGTTATCTTCACTCCCTGGGCCAACCCCAGCCTGCTGTATGACACTAACATATACACAGACACACAGGCAGGCAGGCAGGCAGACAGAGAGACAGGCAGACAGAGAAATACACACACACACACACTACATACAAGCTTGCAGGGGACGTCAGAGAGGGCAGACAACAGACCATAATGTTCCATCACAGAAATGAGACAGGAGAGAGGGAGGAGAGCACAGGGGCGATGGGACGTATCCCATGTGGGACGTATCACGTGGGAAGTATCCCATGGACATTTGGTTTACTTGTGTGATTTGCTAGTTGGTAGCTAACACCTTGGTCTGATTCTAGTTCCCATTAACATGATGCTACTAACAACAAATAGTTTTGTGTGTTTTCAACAGGAGCTTTGTTACTCTCCAACACCATGTAACACATTCATTCACCTAGTGCTGCAGGAGCCAAACGCACCTGAGAAGCATACTGTAGAACGTTGTTTTTAACCCGTTTTTCAATCGAATGCTGGATGATTTTTCATGTGAATGCAATGTGTGTTTTGTAAGCATGTTTTTATATGTGCAGTTTAACTGATTTTCTGTCTTACAGATTAGAACAATTCCTTTCAGTTGTCCTCCCCCAACCCCAACACCCCCCACCCCAGCCCCAACCCCTGTCCTTCTCAATACAGTGTTACATTCTCACATTCCCCTCCCCTTTACCTGCCAAGAGTTCAGAAACAGGTCGTTATGGTGGTGAGATGTAGCCCTCATTCTGGGCAGTTTGGTTATTTATTCAGTACATTGCCTGTCCACCTGCAGCAAATACTGAAGAATATAATAATATGAAAGAACTGACCTAGACTGAAGGGTTCAGAGAGGAGTCCATGGCTCTTGATATTAGAGGGTGTTAACTGTTAATTAATGGTATTTTGTGACAGCTACAGCCTGCATAAACAGGTAGAGGGACACAGTGTAACTCAACAGGTCATTGAAATGAGAAGCAATGGTCACATTTCCACTGGATTACAGGTATCAAGCTGGGAATAATGTGACAAGAGCACATTATGGTTTTTAGTACATTGCACAAAGTGTAGATGTCATGTAGACCAGGGATGTCAAACTCATTCCATGGAGGACCTGGTGTCTGCTGTTTTTCCTAGACCTAGCCAACCAGGTGAGGGGAGTTCCTTACTAATCAGTGACCTTAATTCATCAATCAAGTAAGTACAAGGGAGGAGTGAAAACCCGCAGACACTCGGCCCTCCGTGGAATGAGTTTGACACGTGATGTAGATTATTGAATGTAATGTAAAATATACACTCAGTGGCCAGTTTATACCACCTCGTTCACAAAAATGGTTAGCTCCTACAGTCTCGTGGCCGTGGCTTGCTATATAAAACAGGCAGACAGGCATCGAGGCATTCAGTTACTGTTCGATTGAACGTCAGAATGGGCAAAGCAAGTGACCTAAGCGACTTTGAGCATGGTATGATCGTCGGTGCTAGGCGCACCGGTTCCAGTATCTCAGAAACAGCCGGCCTCCTGGGCTTTTCACGCATGACAGTGTCTAGGGTTTACAAAAAAACAACAACATCCAGTCAGCAGCAGTCCTGTGGGCGAAAACAGCTCGTTGATGAGAGAGGTCGAAGGAGAATGGCAAGAATCGTGCAAGCTAGCAGGCAGGCAACAAACAGATTCAAAAATGGTGCAGAACAACAGTGGTGTGCAGAACGGCATCTTGGAACGCACAACTCATCGGTCCTTGTCACGGATGGGCTATCACAGCAGACGACCACACCGGATTCCTCTCCTATCAGCTAAAAACAAAAAGAAGAGGCTCCAGCGATCACCAACACTGGACAATTGAGGAGTGGAAATACATTGCCTGGTCTGACTAATCCCGGTTGCTGTTGCATCATGCTGATGGCAGAGTCAGGATTTGGCATCAGCAGCATGAGTCCATGGCCCCATCCTGCCTGGTGTCAACGGTACAGGCTGTTGGCGGTGGTGTAATGGTGTGGGGAATGTTTTCCTGGCACACGTTAGGTCCCTTGATACCAATTGAGCAACGTTTGAATACCACACCTTGTAGAACCATGCCCCAAAGAATTCAGGCTGTTCTGGAGGCAAAGGGGCGTCCGACCCGGTACTAAATGGGTGTACATAATAAACTGGCCACTGAGTGTATATTGTAGAAGTAGTTGCTTTTCTATTGTAGTGTTCATAATGATTATTTTCATGGTTAAGAGGTAGAGCAGGACTCTTATTGAAAAATGTAAGTGATTGTGAGTGTTGTGCCATTGAATCAGTGCTGTCATGGGTTCAATGCGAAGCAGTGGTAATTGATACGCTGTTCAGTGCCCTGCATGTATTGGTTGAGGCTCCAACCATATGCATGAAGAAGACGCCTTGGTCCCTCATGTTCTCGCCTTGGTTCCTCCTTGTGTTCTCAGGCTGGTGGCTCAGACGTGGAGCGTACCAAGAAGAAGAGACGGGGAGATCGTTACTCAGTGCAGACGTCACTTATTGTGGCTGCCCTGAAAAAGATGCTCCCCATCGGCCTCAACATGTGCTCCCCTGCTGATCAGGAGCTTATCAACCTGGCCAAGATACGATACTCTTTGGTAGTGTGCCCTCGGCTCTCTTAAATAACTCTGCCGTAGTAACCATGTGTCAGAATAGTTGTTTGTGCCAGACCCATAGGGCTGTATGTCTAGACACAGAAATTGTTCCAAAATAAATCTTAAACAACATTTTTCTTCCAGAGGGACACTGATGAGGAAGTAAGGGAGTTCTTGCAAAACAACCTGCATCTTCAAGGCAAGGTAAGTTGGAGTGATACATGGTGAAGTTCCGGTGGTGTTCCTCCAGCTGCAGTGTGCGTGTTCCTCCAGCTGCAGTGTGTTGTGTTCAGGTGGAGAACCCGTCCATGCGCTGGCAGATGTCCCTATATAAGGAGATGGCAGGGAAGGCTGAGGATGCTGACGCTCCTGAGAAAGTGGTTAAGAGGGTGCAGGAGGTGTCTGCTGTGCTCTATCACATTGAGGTGGTGAGTGGAGTAGTACACCCATTACTTCAGTACTACAACATCAATATAATCCTACAGTATCCCTATAGTCCTACTTCACACACATGGCATGATGTCAGTGGTGCCGTTTCTCTCAATGATCTCTTCTCTCACATAGACGGAGCACCCCTTCAAATCCAAAAAGATGGTGTGGCACAAACTGCTGTCCAAGCAGAGACGCAAGGCTGTGGTAGCCTGCTTTAGGATGACACCACTATACAACCTACCCAGGTTAGAGATGCTACTACAGTCTTGTATTTACATTTACATTTGAGTCATTTAGCAGACGCTCTTATCCAGAGCGACTTACAGGAGCAATTAGGGTTAAGCACCTTGCTCAAGGGCACATAGACAGATTTTTCACCTAGTTGGCTTGGGGATTCTATTCAGCGACCTTTCGGTTACTGGTCCAACACTCTTATTAACTGCTAGGCTACCTGCCGCTCCATTCAAACAAATACAGGAGGTAGCACACAGCCACAAGTAAAACACAGATACTAACATCGTTTTCTGTCTGCCTCACAGGCATAGAGCTTCCAATATGTTCCTGGAAGGATACAAACGCAACTGGATCCATACTGAGGGCTACTCCTTTGAGGACAGAATGATAGACGACTTGTCTGTAAGCTCCAACGCCTCATGTTTGACTAACCTTTTGAGGATTTCAGGATCTGCGAGTTTCCTCCTATAGTTTCACTCCCACATCTCTTTCTCATTCCCAGAAAGCCATGGAGCAGGAAGGAGAAGAGGAGGAAGAGACGGAGACCAAGCCAGACCCCCTTCACCAGCTCATTTTGCATTTCAGCCGTACCGCTCTCACAGAAAAGAGGTGGGACTCTCCTTCTCTCCCTCAAGCATGTTAGTTGAGCAGCTTTTGGATTGAATTCAACACTAATTCACATCTCCACCTATTGACATGTTGCCTAAGCTTCTGTTTGTTCTCATCGTTACAGTAAACTTGATACAGATTATCTATATATGGCATATGCTGATATTATGGCAGAGGTGAGTTTTATGATGTAACATTTTAGCATGTTATGATTATTTGTATATTAATGTGTTTACAGTATATAATGTTTTTTTTCCCCTTGTGTGTGTGTGTTGTAGAGCTGCCACATTGGTGAGGAGGACGAAGGGGGAGAGGAGGTGGAGGAAGGGGCTGAGGATGAGATGTCCTTTGAGGTGCGACAGACAGAACTGGTATGGGGCGGCCAGGGGCAGGGGACTGGGGAGACACTGGAGCGGTAGCTCTCAACGCATCAAGTGACCACATCATCCACTGCAGATCAGCCTGCACCCACATCTCTCTCTTCTCTCGCTCTTCTCTCTCTCTGTCTCCTCTCTTCTCTCTTCTCTTTCTCTCTTCTCTGTCTCCTCTCTTCTCTTTCTCTCTTCTCTCGCTCTCTCTCTCTTCTCTCTTCCTCTCTCTCTCTCTCCTCTCTTCTCTTTCTCTCTTCTCTCTCTCTTTCTCCTCTCTTCTCTCCTTTTTCTCTCTCTTCTTTCCTTTCTCTCTCTATCTCTTCTCTCTCTTCTCTCTCACTTCTCTCTCTCTTCTCTCTCTCTCTCCTCTCTCATCACTCTTTTGTCTCTTCTATCTGTTCCTTTATATGCGTGTTGCTTCCTCCTAAATGTTATCTGTCTGTCACTTTTCCTCCTTATTTGTGTTTTGCTTCACTCCAAATGTTTCTGGATTTTACCTGGCTGTTGTGGTTAACATTGTGGTTAACATTCTGTAGATGTTGCATGACTCACAAAGTGATTAGAGAAAACTACTTATCTAGACCATACAAAATCATGTGGACCATCCTAAAGCATTGACCTATCTGCTAAGCACAAAGTTCCACTGATGAGTATTCCTTCAATTTGGCAGGCAGAATGTGTTTACATGGGTCAAATACTGTTGTCAATATATAATGGCTCCTCCATTATTTTGGACAGAAATACATCTAATATTTTCCATAGTTTGTATATACACTAAGCATACAAAACATTAGGAACACCTTCCTAATATTGAGTTGCACACCCTTTTGCCCTCAGAACAGCCTCAATTCATCAGTGCATGGACTCTACAAGGAGTCAAAAGCATTCTACAGGGATGCTGGCCCATGTTCACTCCAATGCTTCCCACAGTTGTTAAGTTGGCTGGATGTCCTTTGGGTGGTGGACCATTCTTGATACACACGAGAAACTGTTGAGCGTGAACATCCCAGCAGTGTTGCAGTTCTTTACACATTCAAACCGGTGCGCCTGGCACCTACTAACATACCCCGTTCAAAGGCACTTCAATCTTTTGTCTTGCCCATTCACCCTCTGAATGGTACACATACACAATCCATGTCTCAATTGTCTCAAGGCTTAAAAATCCTTCTTTAACCTGTCTCCTCCCCTTCATCTACACTGATTGAAGTGGATTTAACAGTGACATCGATAAGGGATCATAGCTTTCACCTGGATTCACCTGGTCAGTCTATGTCATGGAAAGGTGGAACACTCAGTGTATATACCGGTATATTTTCCATATGTATATAAGTGGTATATTTGGACGAATAGAAATTACTCCTGCGTCTGTAAATTGTTACCTTTAGAGTGGAGGAGGCCATTAGTCATTGTCCCAAGTCTAGCCTATCACTGCCAGCTCTCATACCCCTTGCTTACTGTATGGTCTTTCATGTAGATCCAGATGGAATCTCTTAACAGAACTGATCCTGTTTGTTTCTCAGACTGTAACCAACCACAGACCCCCCCCCCCCCTCCGTCTGTGTCAGTTCCATGTTTTCTTTCTACTCTCCCACTAACTCTGGCGTAACACGTTCATCTCTGTTAACTGAATGTTACTAATCAATGTTGTTCCCTTCCATACTTACTTAGCGTATTGACCAATAGACTACAGTGAAAGCCAGTCTACACTCCCAGACACCTAGACTGACGCATACAGTAAGAATATGTGTACGAAGAGTTACAACAACAAGACATTTTACTGATAGACATACTATATACTACACCTGATGCAGGGCTTATCCAAACACCCCTCTTGTTTCCATTGGATTGGAAACTCTCCGTAAGTAATGTCAAGTACATCTGCACTACACTTACTGGGTAGACCATGGTCAGGCATACGTGGGTGGGTGGGTGGTGCTTTGGGTGGGTGTGGGTGGGTTAGGAGGGTGGGATGCTGTGGGCGGGGGAACTGATATAATCTGTGTTTGTATTACCTTTGTTTTAATTAAATCTTGGTTACTTTTTATACTTAATTGCATTACATTGCACTTGTGAAAATGTTGCAAGCTTACACTATAAATGTGGTTCTGTGACAGATGTTTGGGCTTTTCTTTGAGCAGAACTGCTCCACTCTGAGGGCTGTGTAAAGGTCAACATGTGATATAATAAGACACCAAGGGAGACACTGGTTATTCAATAGATCCTGTATGGTTCTTTGCAATGGCTAGCACTGCAGCATGCAAGGCCATCAGGGCTGTTTGCTGTAGTCTTAACGTTTGCTCCAGTCAGCAAACGTGAAGAAGTAGTGTAACGACTCCATGACTAATTAACTGGGGAGAGAGAATGGGTGAGCGAGAGAAACAGATAGGTGGAATGGAAGTAATGATGTGTGGAAAAACGAGTCAAAAAGCAGATAAAGCATGCAGGTTTGAATGAGTTTTTCCCATACAATGAGAAGAAAGGATAACTAAGAAATGGAGACGGAGAGTAGAAACTGAGAATGAGAAACTATTTCAATTTTAGATATATACACTACCAGTCAAAAGTTTGGACACACCTACCCATTCAAGGGTTTTTCTTTATTTGTACTATTTTCTACATTGTAGAATAATAGTGAAGACATCAAAACAATGAAATAACACATATGGAATCATGGAGCACCCAAAAAAGTGTTAAACAAATCAAAATATATTTTATATTTGAGATTCTTCAAATAGCCACCCTTTGCCTTGATGACAGCTTTGCACACTCTTGGCATTCTCTCAACACTTTATTGGGTGCTACATGATTCCATATGTGTTATTTCATAGTGTTGATGTCTTCACATTTTTTCTACAATGTAGAAAATAGTAAACAATTAAGAAAAACCATTGAATGAGTAGGTGTGTCCAAACTTTTGACTGGTATTGTATATGTAGCATGTAAAACTATAGGCCCACACTATTAAAACAAAGTTTAGGGCTGCAAGTCAGTGGAGGTTAGAGAGAAGGTCTAGACAGCTAGGGACTAGGTGTGTGAATGCAGAGTGACTGCGGGGTGGGATGTGTGACCATCAGGACACAGTCACAGCATCTGTGTTCATCACAGGAAAAAGAGATGGAGAAACAGAGACTTCTGTACCAGCAGTCCCGTCTCCACAACCGTGGGGCGGCTGAGATGGTGCTGCAGATGATCAGTGCCTGCAAAGGTACTTCCCCAACCCATACAGTACACCAGGGATCCCCAATTACATTCAGCCGTGGGCCGATTTTTCCTTTGATTGGATGGTCAGGGGGCCGGAACATAGTTATAAAAAATGTATTTTATGCTCAGAAAACTTGGGCGGGGGGGGGGGGGCAAATAAAATAGTTTGGCCTGCGGGCCTCCTTTTGAGGAACCCTGCAGTACACCATGCATACTCCCTACAGGCTAACCCTACAGGTCAATCAATGTCTCTCAGTCACAGTGCATACATTTCAATGATACCTGCCGTGGTCGACACATTACAAACACATTATTCATACCTGTCATCTAGAATGGTAAAGAGTACTTTTCTCTCCATCTAGGTGAGACTGGCTCCATGGTGTCCTCCACCCTTAAACTGGGCATCTCCATCCTAAACGGTGGTAACGTTGAGGTTCAACAGGTAAGTGTCCACTCAGTGGGCTGTCCATCTGACCTGAGGTTATAGTAGTAATTGACTGGTCTCACTGTCTGTTTGCAGAAAATGCTTGAGTACCTGAAGGACAAGAAGGATGTTGGCTTCTTTTTGAGTGTCCAGGCTCTAATGCAGACATGCAGGTTTGTCTTCACCCCTGAATTACTCATAAAGGAAAACAACATAAATCCTAGTAGGGAGTAGGAAAGCAGTCCTAATCGAGCGTTTATGAGTACGTAGAATGAAATTAATGTTATGTTGGATTACTAATATGTGAAAACCCAAAGATATGGTCCTCTGTAGCTCAGCTGGTAGAGCACGGCGCTTGTAACGCCAAGGTAGTGGGTTCGTTCCCCGGGACCACCCATACACAAAAAAAATTATGCACGCATGACTGTAAGTCGCTTTGGATAAAAGCGTCTGCTAAATGGCATATTATTATTATTATTACTATTATTATTATTATTATTATTATTATATATATATATACTGTATAAATGGAAAATGGAGCTAACAGCTTATGAAGTTTGATTAAAGGTGACCGTATGTTTTTCATGGCAGTGTCCTGGACCTGAATGCCTTTGAGAGACAGAACAAGGCAGAGGGTCTGGGCATGGTGTCGGAGGAGGGAACAAGTAAGTCTTTAAAGCTCTGACCATACTGGACACTGGTACATCAGCTTTGACCCACCTTACACCACCTTTGTATCCATGTCCTGCCCAGGCAATCACACACACATGTACAGTATCAGGGCCTATGGTCACTGAGTGGGAGTTCCCCCACTTCATTCCTCATCTTATGAATGTTCAGTTGTAGTAACATCCATAAACTCTGTTGTCTAATAATGATTGAGTGATTAATGTGTTGATATGACTAATTTTTTCAGCGCTGACGCCTTGTCAGTTGGTAATTTGAATTTACAGGGTGTCTGTTTAGTACTGTATTTTGACTTGCTAATATTTTGTGTTTACATTCAATGTTTATTTGTAAAATATTTTGTAAGTGTAGTATTATTTTAAACTAATTCTTAGTTAGAATTATTGACAATAGAAATGTGTTAACCACCCCTCCCAACTCCTAAGTGTTCTACTGTTGTCCGTCAACTCACTAGCCCTCTCTTTCCCTACCTTGCCATCATTGCGTCCCTCCCTCCCCTATCCCCTCTTCCCATTCCCTCCTTTGCTGGTCCTCAGACATGAAGTCAGAACGGGGTAAATGATACCTCTGTCCCTCTGTTTTTCTACCTTTTCTCTTGCTCTCCCTGTTCCCTCTCCGTCTCTTCATCTTCTTTAGCTCTTTTTAATTATCTCGTGTTGTGGAGCCCACCTGTATTCAATTTCAGACTCAAGGAGTTTATGAAATAACCTTTCAGTCATGTCAAGTAATGCCAATTCCATTGTTTCTCGGGTATGTACAGTGAGGGGAAAAAAGTATTTGATCCCCTGCTGATTTTGTACGTTTGCCCACTGACAAAGAAATTATCAGTCTGTAATTTTAATGGTAGGTTTATTTGAACAGTGAGAGACAGAATAACAACAACAAAATGTTTAAAATGTTATAAATTGATTTGCATTTTAATGAGGGAAATAAGTATTTGACCCCTTCTCAATCAGAAAGATTTCTGGCTCCCATGTGTCTTTTATACAGGTAATGAGCTGAGATTAGGAGCACACTCTTAAAGGGAGTGCTCCTAATCTCAGCTTGTTACCTGTATAAAAAACACCTGTCCACAGAAGCAATACATCAATCAGATTCCAAACTCTCCACCATAGCCAAGACCAAAGAGCTCTCCAAGGATGTCAGGGATAAGATTGTAGACCTACACAAGGCTGGAATGGGCTACAAGACCATCGCCAAGCAGCTTGGTGAGAAGGTGATAACAGTTGGTGCAATTATTCGCAAATGGAAGAAACACAAAAGACCTGTCAATCTCCCTCGGCCTGGGGCTCCATGCAAGATCTCACCTCGTGGAGTTGCAATGATCATGAGAATGGTGAGGAATCAGCCCAGAACTACACGGGAGGATCTTGTCAATGATCTGAAGGCAGCTGGGACCATAGTCACCAAGAAAACAATTGGTAACACACTACGCCGTGAAGGACTGAAATCATGCAGCGCCCGCAAGGTCCCCCTGCTCAAGAAAGCACATATACATGCCCGTCTGAAGTTTGCCAATGAACATCTGAATGATTCAGAGGAGACCTGGGTGAAAGTTGTGTGGTCAGATGAGACCAAAATGGAGCTCTTTGGCATCAACTCAACTCGCCGTGTTTGGAGGAGGAGGAATGCTGCCTATGACCCCAAGAACACTATCCCCACCATCAAACACACAAGAAACGTCTGGGATAGGACAAGGAATACCTGGGATAGGATAAAGTAATCCTTCTAACCCCCCCCCCCCCAAATTGTAAAGTGGTTATCCCACTGGCTATAGGGTAAACGCACCAATTTGTGAGTCGCTCTGGCTAAGAGCGTCTGCTAAATGACGTTAATGTGCCCCTGAGCAAGGCACTTAACCCTAATTGCTCCTGTAAGTCGCTCTGGATAAGAGCGTCTGCTAAATGACTAAAATGTCAAATGTAAATGTAATCAAACATGGAGGTGGAAACATTATGCTTTGGGGGTGTTTTTCTGCTAAGGGGACAGGACAACTTCACCGCATCAAAGGGACGATGGACGGGGCTATGTACCGTCAAATCTTGGGTGAGAACCTCAGCCAGGGCATTGAAAAATGGGTCGTGGATGGGTATTCCAGCATGACAATGACCCAAAACACACGGCCATGGCAACAAAGGAGTGGCTCAAGAAGAAGCACATTAAGGTCCTGGAGTGACCTAGCCAGTCTCCAGACCTTAATCCCATAGAAAATCTGTGGAGGGAGCTGAAGGTTCGAGTTGCCAAACGTCAGCCTCGAAACCTTAATGACTTGGAGAAGATCTGCAAAGAGGAGTGGGACAAAATCCCTCCTGAGATGTGTGCAAACCTGGTGGCCAACTACAAGAAACGTCTGACCTCTGAGATTGACAACAAGGGTTTTGCCACCAAGTACTAAGTCATGTTTTGCAGAGGGGTCAAATACTTATTTCCCTCATTAAAATGCAAATCAATTTATAACATTTTTGACATACGTTTTTCTGGATTTTTGTTGTTGTTATTCTGTCTCTCACTGTTCAAATAAACCTACCATTAAAATGATAGACTGATCATGTCTTTGGCAGTGGGCAAACGTACAAAATCAGCAGGGGATCAAATACTTTTTTCCCTCACTGTACATGACTATGTACTGTATTCATAGTAAACCTATTAAACACTCAGAGTAATGAGTCCTAGCAACAAACAATGACTGAAAAGCGTTTTTTCCCCTTGAGTGGCTAACCACAGATCTACTGAACCTCCGAAGCTCACCACTATTGTGATTATAAGAATTCCTGAGGACGGAATTAGCGCAATATGTGGATCTATCGATCTCTCATATTCATCCTCAGTGTTTGTAACTCAGGGCCTGTATCCACAAAGCATCTCAGAACTGATCTAGGATCAGTCCATAACCAGCATTCAGAAAGTATTCAGACCCTTTGACTTTTTCCAAATTTTGTTACGTTATGGCCTTATTCTAAAATGCATTAAATGTTTTTTTCCCCCCTCATCAATCTACACACAATACCCCATAATGACAAAGCAAAAACAGGTTTTTAGAAATGTTTGCAAATGTATAAAAAATAATATGAAATTACATTTACACAAGTATTCAGACCCTTTACTCAGTACTTTGTTGAAGCACCTTTGGCAGCGATTACAGTCCGGGCTCTGGCTGGGCCACTCAAGGACATTCAGAGATTTGTCCCGAAGCCACTCCTGCGTTGTCTTGGCTGTGTGCTTAGTGTCGTTGTCCTGTTGGAAGGTGAACATTCACCCCAGTCTGAGGTCCTGAGTGCACTGGAGCAAGTTTTCATCAAGGATAATAATATAATAATATAATAACATGCCATTTAGCAGACACTTTTATCCAAAGCGACTTACAGTCATGCGTGCATACATTTTTGTGTATGGGTGGTCCCGGGGATCGAACCCACTACCCTGGCGTTAAAAGCGCCGTGCTCTACCAGCTGAGCTACAGAGGACCTCTCTCTACAGAGGATCTCTCTGTACTTTGCTCCGTTCATCTTTCCCTCGATTCTGACTAGGCTCCCAGTCCCTGCCGCTGAAAAACATCCCCAGAACATGATGCTGCCACCATGCTTCACCGTAGCGATGGTGCCAGGTTTCCTCCAGATGTGACGCTTGGCCTTCAGGCCAAAGAGTTCAATCTTGGTTTCCTCAGACCAGATAATCTTGTTTTTCATGGTCTGAGAGTTCTTTAGGTGCCTTTTGGAAAACTCCAAGGGGGTTGTCATGTGCCTTTTACTGAGGAGTGGCTTTCGTCTGGCCACTCTACCATAAAGGCCTGATTGGTGGAGTGCTGCAGAGATGGTTGTCCTTCTGGAATGTTCTCCCATCTCCACAGAGGAACTCATGAGCGCTGTCAGAGTGACCATCGGGTTCTTGGTCACCTCCCTGACCAAGGCACTTCTCCCCCGATTGCTCAGTTTGGCCAGGCGGCCAGCTCTAGGGAAGAGTCTTGGTGGTTCCAAACTTCTTCCATTTAAGTATGATGGAGGCCACTGAGTTCTTGGGGAGCTTCAATACTGTAGAATGTTATGGTACCATTCCCCAGAACTGTGCCTCGACACAATCCTGTCTCGGAGCTCTATGGACAATTCCTTCGACCTCATGGCTTTGTTTTTGCTCTAACATGAACTGTCAACTGTGGGAACTTATATAGACAGGTGTGTGCCTTTCCAAATCATGTCCAATCAATCGAATTTACCACAGGTGGACTCCAATCAAGTTGTAGAAACATCTCAAGGATGCACCTGAGCTCAATTTCAAGTATCTTAGCAAAGGGTCTGAATACTTATGTAAATAAGGTATTTCTGTTTTTGTGTTTTATAAATTTGCAAAAAATTCTTAAAACCTGTTTTCACTTTTTCATTATGGGGTATTGCGTGTAGATTGCTGAGGGTTTTTATTTCTTTAATCCATTTTAGAATAAGGATTTAATGTAACAATGTGGAAAAAGTCAAGGGGTCTGAATACTTTCCGAAAGCACTGTAATCTTATTTTTTAATGATCTGAAAGGCAAAACTGATCCTAGATCAGCACTGTCTGCCCCACCCACCTCTGAACCCTCACATGATTTACACTGTAATCCCCCCCACAATGACATCATCCCTCCTCCACTCCACCTTGCTTGGACACAAGTCCAAACCCTGGCCCTCTTAACCCAAACTCAGTGGAGTTCGAGGAGTGCAGTAGGTCTGTGCTGCATGCACTGACTGAGGAACTGACAGGGTCAACTTCTCCATTACGTTGTATGTCTGTGCAGTATACAGTGATGTCCATTGTATCTATACATGTTGATGTGACCATGTAATTTTATGTGTGTATACTGTGTATATAGTATACTGTGTTTTCAGTGTTGATGGACGACTGTTTCTTTATGTGTTAATGTATGTGACATAATAGTGTTTGATTATGTGTCTAAAATTGCAGAAGGTCTTATCGTTGCTTGTTGCTGTGAATGTGCTTTTACAGTACATGCCAACCTATTGGCCATGATTCAGCAAGTGTTTGACGTTTTCTATATTGTAGTTACAGTGAACAACTCAGTATGAACTAAAGGAAGATGGACAGTCTGTAAGGAGGAGGTTATTGCAGCTCTTACTAATATGATTATGCAGACGTGATGGAGAGCTGTGAAATTATAATCACACTCACCTTATTGCTGCAAGCATGTGTGCTGCTGACCATGGTACGCACTGGCTAACACTCAAATTCTCTAGTTAGCCTCCCACCTACATTACATACAGATAGAGAGAGGCAGCCTGCCTGAACCCTCCTACTGTCAAAGACATCCAGTACTTCTAGATCTAGTCTGATGCTCTGTCCCTTTGTCTCTCCCCTCCAGGTGAGAAAGTCATGTCGGATGATGAGTTTACCTGTGATCTGTTCCGCATGTTGCAGCTGCTCTGTGAGGGCCACAATAACGGTGAGAAGAATATTATCCAATGGTGTTCTATTTAGGGAATGATGGATTTGTCTGTGGGGGCACAGCAACACTTGAATCATGACTTGCTGTAATGCTAGTCAAATGTTGGCAGTCTATTTGAGTGGACTCTGTTTTTACTCCAGATTTCCAGAACTACTTGCGAACACAGACCGGCAGCACCACCACTATCAACATCATCATCTGCACTGTGGATTACCTCCTCCGACTGCAGGTACTGGGACTCTGACTATTAACACATACCTGTTAAAGAGGTGTCCTGTTATCCCTTTTCTATACCCTGATGAAGACAGCTTGTCTGTCCAAACGTTGGTTATTAGGATATTAAATTATTGCATCTGAGCTCCTAGAGTGTGCGGCTTTCCATTTCTTTTTCAACTGTTATCCCTTTCACCATGAATTTTATAAAGCCCTTTTTACGTCAGCAGTTGTCATAAAGTGCTATACAGATACCCAGCCTTACACTACAAAGAGCAAGAAATGCAGATGCAGAAGCAAGGTGGCTAGGAAAAATATTTCTCTATCTCGCTCTCTCTAAAGGAGTCAATCAGTGATTTCTACTGGTATTACTCTGGTAAAGAGATCATCGATGAGCCAGGCAAGAAGAACTTCTCCAAGGCCATGATAGTGGCTAAACAGATCTTCAACAGTCTGACTGAGTACATCCAGGTGAGTATAAACCCATTCATCTGTACAGCATGTAGATGACTGGATGTTACTGGGTATGTATGTGACCGTATGTACCTGGTGGTCTCCCCTCAGGGTCCATGTACAGGCAATCAGCAGTCCCTGACCCACAGCAGGCTGTGGGATGCAGTGGTAGGCTTCCTCCACGTCTTTGCCCACATGATGATGAAGCTGGCACAGGTATAAGCTAGCTGCCTCAACATCAACATGTACACCTACACATCTCACCACACAAAACATGGCTACTATTCCCCTAGAAACCACACATTGTGTATCTTACACGAAAGTTGGATGTGCATGAGGAAATTACATAGTTTGTGTGTGTGTATGTATATATATATATATATATATATATATACAGTGGGGAGAACAAGTATCTGATACACTGCCAATTTTGCAGGTTTTCCTACTTACAAAGCATGTAGAGGTCTGTAATTTTTATCATAGGTACACTTCAACTGTGAGAGACGGAATCTAAAACAAAAATCCAGAAAATCACATTGTATGATTTTTAAGTAATTAATTTGCATTTTATTGCATTACATAAGTATTTGATACATCAGAAAAGCAGAACATAATATTTGGTACAGAAACCTTTGTTTGCAATTACAGAGATCATACGTTTCCTGTAGGACTTGACCAGGTTTGCACACACTGCAGCAGGGATTTTGGCCCACTCCTCCATACAGACCTTCTCCAGATCCTTCAGGTTTCGGGGCTGTCGCTGGGCAATATGGACTTTCAGCTCCCTCCAAAGATTTTCTATTGGGTTCAGGTCTGGAGACTGGCTAGGCCACTCCAGGACCTTGAGATGCTTCTTACGGAGCCACTCCTTAGTTGCCCTGGCTGTGTGTTTCGGGTCGTTGTCATGCTGGAAGACCCAGCCACGACCCATCTTCAATGCTCTTACTGAGGGAAGGAGGTTGTTGGCCAAGATCTCGCAATACATGGCCCCATCCATCCTCCCCTCAATACGGTGCAGTCGTCCTGTCCCCTTTGCAGAAAAGCATCCCCAAAGAATGATGTTTCCACCTCCATGCTTCACGGTTTGGGATGGTGTTCTTGGGGTTGTACTCATCCTTCTTCTTCCTCCAAACACGGCGAGGGGAGTTTAGACCAAAAAGCTCTATTTTTGTCTCATCAGACCACATGACCTTCTCCCATTCCTCCTCTGGATCATCCAGATGGTCATTGGCAAACTTCAGACGGGCCTGGACATGCGCTGGCTTGAGCAGGGGGACCTTGCGTGGCGCTGCAGGATTTTAATCCATGATGGCGTAGTGTGTTACTAATGGTTTTCTTTGAGACTGTGGTCCCAGCTCTCTTCAGGTCATTACCCAGGTCCTGCCGTGTAGTTCTGGGCTGATCCCTCACCTTCTCATGATCATTGATGCCCCACGAGGTGAGATCTTGCATGGAGCCCCAGACCGAGGTTGATTGACCGTCATCTTGAACTTCTTCCATTTTCTAATAATTGCGCCAACAGTTGTTGCCGTCTCACCAAGCTGCTTGCCTATTGTCCTGTAGCCCATCCCAGCCTTGTGCAGGTCTACAATTTTATCCCTGATGTCCTTACACAGCTCTCTGGTCTTGGCCATTGTGGAGAGGTTGGAGTCTTTGATTGAGTGTGTGGACAGGTGTCTTTTATACAGGTAACGAGTTCAAACAGGTGCAGTTAATACAGGTAATGAGTGGAGAACAGGAGGGCTTCTTAAAGAAAAACTAACAGGTCTGTGAGAGCCGGAATTCTTACTGGTTGGTAGGTGATCAAATAATTATGTAATGCAATAAAATGCAAATTAATTACTTAAAAATCATACAATGTGATTTTCTGGATTTTTGTTTTAGATTCCGTTTCTCACAGTTGAAGTGTACCTATGATAAAAAGACCTCTACATGCTTTGTAAGTAGGAAGACCTGCAAAATCGGCACTTCTCAGTTCCTATGCTTCCTGGCTGATGTTTTGGTCACTTTTGAATGCTGGCGGTGCTTTCACTCTAGTGGTAGCATGAGACGGAGTCTACAACCCACACAAGTGGCTCAGGTAGTGCAGCTCATCCAGGATGGCACATCAATGCGAGCTGTGGCAAGAAGGTTTGCTGTGTCTGTCAGCGTAGTGTCCAGAGCATGGAGGCGCTACCAGGAGACAGGCCAGTACATCAGGAGACGTGGAGGAGGCCGTAGGAGGGCAACAACCCAGCAGCAGGACTGCTACCTCCGCCTTTGTGCAAGGAGGAGCAGGAGGAGCACTGCCAGAGCCCAGCAAAATGACCTCCAGCAGGCCACAAATGTGCATGTGTCTGCTCAAACGGTCAGAAACAGACTCCATGAGGGTGGTATGAGGGCCCGACGTCCACAGGTGGGGGTTGTGCTTACAGCCCAACACCGTGCAGGACGTTTGGTATTTGCCAGAGAACACCAAGATTGGCAAATTCGCCACTGGCGCCCTGTGTTCTTCACAGATGAAAGCAGGTTCACACTGAGCACATGTGACAGACATGACAGAGTCTGGAGACGCCGTGGAGAACGTTCTGCTGCCTGCAACATCCTCCAGCATGACCGGTTTGGCGGTGGGTCAGTCATGGTGTGGGGTGGAATTTCTTTGGGGGGCCGCACAGCCCTCCATGTGCTCGCCAGAGGTAGCCTGACTGCCATTAGGTACCGAGATGAGATCCTCAGACCCCTTGTGAGACCATATGCTGGTGCTGTTGGCCCTGGGTTCCTCCTAATGCAAGACAATGCTAGACCTCATGTGGCTGGAGTGTGTCAGCAGTTCCTGCAAGAGGAAGGCATTGATGCTATGGACTGGCCCGCCCGTTCCCCAGACCTGAATCCAATTGAGCACATCTGGGACATTTTTTAAATTTTTATTATTATTATTTTTTTGTCGTTTAGCAGACACTCTTATCCAGTGCGACTTACAGGAGCAATTAGGGTTAAGTGCCTTGCTCAAGGGCACATTGACAGATTTTTCACCTAGTCGGCTCGGGGATTAGAACCAGCGACCTTTCGGTTACTGGCACAACGCTCTTACCCACTAAGCTACCTGCCGACATCATGTCTCGCTCCATCCACCAACGCCACGTTGCACCACAGACTGTCCAGGAGTTGGCGGATGCTTTAGTCCAGGTCTGGGAGGAGATCCCTCAGGAGACCATTCACCACCTCATTAGGAGCATGCCCAGGCGTTGTAGGGAGGTCATACAGGCACGTGGAGGCCACACACACTACTGAGCCTCATTTTGACTTGTTTTAAGGACATTACATCAAAGTTGGATCAGCCTGTAGTGTGGTTTTCCACTTTAATTTTGAGGGTGACTCCAAATCCAGACCTCCATGGGTTGATAAATATATATATATATATATATATGACATGTAAATGCCCACAAAGATCTGTCAGCAACTACGCTGTACACCAACATACATCTACAGTTCATGGTATAGATAAGCTATTTTGTGCACTTTTTACTAGAGGATTGTGATTTCACATATCAGTGATCTGTGTTACCATTGCTGGGGTGAAAATTCGCAATGAACTTTCATTTGACTGCCAACTATGCATTTAACAAACGCCTTTCAAGCCAACAACTTGAACACTTTTGTTGCATTGTTTCACTGATAAGTCTGTAATTTCAAAAAAATATATTTACAGTGAAAGTAGTTTGTAGAAACTGAATCTGGAATGGTGAACTAAATCGTATTGTGATGCTAAAACCGCTGTTACATGAAAGTGTCCTCTCTTACTCCCATGCATAAAGCAACCAGCCTCACAGATATCTCCTCATGCACACTCTCTTTTTCTACCTGACATTCACACAAATGCACTGGCTTGCAGACACACCACATACATGACTGGAACACTATTGAACAGTGGTACTCCTTTTAATTGAAGAAAGTAACGCCATACTGTAAGTACAGTGGGGGAAAAAAAGTATTTAGTCAGCCACCAATTGTGCAAGTTCTCCCACTTAAAAAGATGAGAGAGGCCTGTAATTTTCATCATAGGTACACGTCAACTATGACAGACAAAATGAGGAAAAAAAATCGCTGGGCAACACGGACTTTCAACTCCCTCCAAAGATTTTCTATGGGGTTGAGATCTGGAGACTGGCTAGGCCACTCCAGGACCTTGAAATGCTTCTTACGAAGCCACTCCTTCGTTGCCCGGGCGGTGTGTTTGGGATCATTGTCATGCTGAAAGACCCAGCCACGTTTCATCTTCAATGCCCTTGCTGATGGAAGGAGGTTTTCACTCAAAATCTCACGATACATGGCCCCATTCATTCTTTCCTTTACACGGATCAGTCGTCCTGGTCCCTTTGCAGAAAAACAGCCCCAAAGCATGATGTTTCCACCCCCATGCTTCACAGTAGGTATGGTGTTCTTTGGATGCAACTCAGCATTCTTTGTCCTCCAAACACGACGAGTTGAGTTTTTACCAAAAAGTTTTATTTTGGTTTCATCTGACCATATGACATTCTCCCAATCCTCTTCTGGATCATCCAAATGCACTCTAGCAAACTTCAGACGGGCCTGGACATGTACTGGCTTAAGCAGGGGGTCACGTCTGTCACTGCAGGATTTGAGTCCCTGGCGGCGTAGTGTGTTACTGATGGTAGGCTTTGTTACTTTGGTCCCAGCTCTCTGCAGGTCATTCACTAGGTCCCCCCGTGTGGTTCTGGGATTTTTGCTCACCGTTCTTGTGATCATTTTGACCCCACGGGGTGAGATCTTGCGTGGAGCCCCAGATCGAGGGAGATTATCAGTGGTCTTGTATGTCTTCCATTTCCTAATAATTGCTCCCACAGTTGATTTCTTCAAACCAAGCTGCTTACCTATTGCAGATTCAGTCTTCCCAGCCTGGTGCAGGTCTACAATTTTGTTTCTGGTGTCCTTTGACAGCTCTTTGGTCTTGGCCATAGTGGAGTTTGGAGTGTGACTGTTTGAGGTTGTGGACAGGTGTCTTTTATACTGATAACAAGTTCAAACAGGTGCCATTAATACAGGTAACGAGTGGAGGACAGAGGAGCCTCTTAAAGAAGAAGTTACAGGTCTGTGAGAGCCAGAAATCTTGCTTGATTGTAGGTGACCAAATACTTATTTTCCACCATAATTTGCAAATAAATTCATTAAAAATCCTACAATGTGATTTTCTGGATTTTTTTTCTCAATTTGTCTGT